TTATGCACTCCAGATCGCGTGCTGATCGTCCTCGAAAAAGGTTGGGGTTGCGCACTTAATTCGTTTTGTCAAGTGTTTACTTTCATGCACAGCTAGCCATATCTTTCGTTTAAGAAGTCGCAGAAGTGCAACCCCAGGATGATTAAATAAGTACGAATGATTTATTAGTCTGATGTCTACATCAACCCGAACTTAAGTACCTGTATTGAATCTTTTCAGGCACCGAAATAGTAGCAGTGCCTCAAGTCGGACCAGTTCTCCTGGTTCCTTTTTAGTCAGTGAAATCAAACGCAATGGGCGAAATGAAGAGATTCGTAGGCGCGACGAACAGAGAGCTGAAGAGGACCGGATATTGTAAGTTAATCATAGCCAAGTTATGCTTTTTTTAAATGATTCGAGTCTTTCCAAGCCCTCGTTTTCCCATGCTACTATTTACATACTAGTCCAGTAGTTGATTGGCACCAAGTACTAAGAAAAAAAATCAAGGCCAAGTATTTGCTTGTTCACATTATGTAGTAGTCTAAGAAATGACTGTATCTAGTTCTCTTGTGACCTAATAAGTCAGTTTACGCGGTAACCTGGTGTGATACGGTCGAGGAGCATCATGCGTAATTTCTTAAACCTAAATGGTGTTTTGTAAAACAAGTAACCTTCAGAAACTCTGTTACGAAGGGTGAAGAGTTATGGCATGGATTCTGTGAAATATTCTAATTCATAGTTTTAAGAAATCGACGTTTTCATCTCAGTTCAAGCATCCGTAAGTTCGTATCAAATGTATAGACACCAGAAACTTCGGAAATCACAAATTTCCCTATTAATGCGTACTAGAGTTAACTCCAAATAGTTGTTTTGCTTGGCATTAAAATGAGTTTTATACAATACGATAATAATTATGCCTAACGACAGACATCGCAGTTTCATTATCTAGTTGCCAGGCTGTTTCACATCTTCGAATTAAATTGTTTGCGATCATCATTAAGATTTATTACTTAATTAAACATTATCTCCAACTTTTATCGTTTTATAGGCGTCAACGGTGGGCAGAATCCAAACTTCTTGAAGAGGAAGTCGCTCGACGCCTGGAGCGTTACTTGGACTCTGAGCTTGCTAAGTTACTTGTGTTACGAAAAGTCCAGTTTAATGCCGAAATTGAACGACGAGTGGAGGCTGAACGTACTGAGGTATTACGTCGAAGAGCTGAAGAAGCTGAACGTAAAGCTAGAGAAGAAGCTGAGGCATTACAACGACGTGAAGTACGTTTTCTTATATAACGTTTGACATAATGACTCGTTTTCTTGTTCCATTTGTCTAGATGAGGCTCTAAACAAATACAAAATCATTAGCATTGTAGTTTAAACTACTAGACCATAAATCAAGTCTGAAAGTGTAGATAGCGATGTATGACCGTTCTGAACTAAATTTACAAGCTTTAAAATAACTTCAATAATTGCGACCATGTCACTAAGGATGAAAGCAATTGTGGTGATTTATAGTACTCAGACGTCCTCTTTATAGTTCATGAGATTAAAAAATACCGGGTAGTTTGGAAATTCAAAAGATTAATCTCAGTGGGATTAACAGTCAGGATATCAAGGTTGTATTTAAACTTAGTATCCAGTTCGTAGTCAGTCGTAAGTAGTGTTTAGCTGGGTACACGTACGTTAATTCAAGTTGCCACATCACATCAATGCAGTGAAATGAGCAGTCGGGTAGCATCACCACCCTAAATTTAAAGCGTGGCTTACGCCTGAGTACGTAGACCTGTACTTGATTACTGAGTTAACGGGGATGTGAAAGTAATCAAATGAATTAAAGAACTTATGACGGCATAATGGTAAACTGGTTCGAGTTTTTACATAACTCAGAACACAGTACAAAATTTTAAAATGCCTTAAGTAAAAGAATAGGATGTTACTCCAAAGGTTGATCTAAACTCACATTGAATCAAGCTGAATGCGCGTAACCAGTGGTTACTGTATTCTTTTTTTCAAAAGGCAAACTAGCATATGTCTTAATCAATGTCGCTTTTTCACTTTAAATCATGCTTCTTTGTTCACATAGGAAGAAGAAAAGCGACTAAAAGAGCTCAGTGAGCGTCTCGCTCAAGAGAGGGAACGGGAACTCGAAGAACAAAGACGCTTGGAGGTCAGTTTTCTCTTAGTGATGTTTTTGTATACTTTTCAGAAGTTATTGGCGTAGTTTATTTAGACTAACGTGTCTTGTCGAAGTTATCAAAAAAGCGAGAACTTTGTGGGCAACTGTTTAACACCTACAGAAAGATTTGTTTTATCAGTTGGCACCTTTTTTTAAAATATTTAGCTGGGCCTATCAGCTTTCTTTTACTGATTTACCGGAGGTCATGAGCGGTCGACACTTGACCTCAGTACATTTGACCAATAAGCTTTCCGATTATTTTACTGTTTTTTTGTTATTATAACGGAAAATTTGTCTCGGTTAAATTATAGATGTACTACAGTAACAGTTTTATCACATTCGTTCTAAAAACTGAGTGTACAAAAATAGCTGATGTTTAATGTCATCTTTAAACCGGGACCTAACGTCAATGAAAGTCACATTAGATGTAAATCTCATGAATTAGAGATTCTATCTTTATTCTCTTGAAATTTATTGTTAAACATTGGAGTATCTACTTTAACTCTATGGAATCATCTGGCTTTCTTGGAACATAAAGAAAGTAATTTTTTATTAACTTTTGTGTATAGGAAGAAGCTGAGCGTAAACGATGTGAAGCAGAATTACGTGAACTTGAAGAACGTCAGCGACGCGAAGCTGAAGAGCTCCAACGTATTAAAAGAGAACAAGAAATTATTCTAAATAAAAAGCGAATTCGACCAAAGTTATCGTTTACACTAAAGAAGTGAATATGTTTCCAGATGTTTCTTTTCCCTCTTTCACGTCAAGTCTATAACTTTATTTTCTTTTTATCTTATTATGCTTTATTTTTCACATTTCATTATTTTCTAAAAATAAATAACTCGAAATACATGCACTTACATATACATTTTGGTGACTTTCAACTGTTTATTTGTCGTCACATCTTGTGGAAAGACTCGAGTCTTATTAACCAAACATGTTTAGTTATCTGTGTATATACGTTGTGCTTCTCTCATTCTCGGTTGATTTCATTGTGTATTTGAATCCTTATACTCCAATTTTTTTTATCGTTTACAGTCTTATTTTGTACATAAATTAAGTTGTCTTTAAAATAATTAGACAAGTTGAAAAAAGTTCTATGTTTGTGACCTCCTACTTTATTCCTTAGAAGATATTTTGTGTTGTTAGATTTCTCTAAGCCCTTGACAGGAAACTAATTTTATTTGGTTGTTTGATGTTAAAATATCCTAAGAACACTACTCACGTTTTTAGAGATAGTTAACTCATTTGAGAGGCACACGCAAAGTTCCGGCCTAACTTGTGATGTCTGGGGAACCAGCAGTTTCCATGTACCAGGTGGGAGTATGACATTGATCGACTCGCCTTCAGATAATATTCGTCCATATAAAATTCCACAACAGAAAACTGTGTATCGATTTCTCACTTTCGTATGGTGCACTGCATAAAGATCAGTATTTAATATCACAGATCTGTTAATTACCTAGTGTTTTGTTAACTGTTTTTCCCTTCCTCCGCATGTAGGATTTTTAAAAATAAATATTCGTATATTTTTTTGAAATTAGAAACAGCTCTAGTATAACTAAGCCTATCCAGAGTTTTTGCTGCACCATAGCTGTTTACTAGTCTTAGTAAAATGTGCTGTTAGCAAAAAAGATGTTAAGCAAATACAGAATTATTGAGCAAATGTTAGAAAGGCAATCAAGTATAGGACTCAATAAATCGACTACTTTGGTTGTGGTGTATTTTTTATATTGCGACATTGATGAACTGGTTGTATATAAATGTTTATTGACTAATTAGTTTTTTTTTCAGGACTTATCTATCAACCCATAAAAAACAAATCTTTCTAAAAAGAAGTGCATTAGGGACTGGTGATTAATCTGTTTTTAATACTAAATGAACATTTGTCTGCCAATCTTATTCACGTTGTGCCGTATTTTTTCATGTAAGGCTTACGAATAAAAAGAAATTACATAGTGACTGGTTGAGGGGAATCCGATTGAATACACAGCGTGTAACTGGGCATTAATTACCAGTACAGTAATCAGTCTTCTATCAAATACCACACTTTCACGTCAACAAAACAGTCATCTGTTATTTGATATCATAAATCACTTGATGAGAACCCTTTCACGAAAGTACTGTGTTCACTTTTACTGGTTAATAATTCTCAGCCTCTACCACACTTAAGTTTTCTCCCCAATTCTAGTCCTTTTCATTTAAAACTCGAGCCTAAGTCGTTACTGTTAGGTTCTCCGAATGAGTACTGACTCTTGGTAAAACTAGGATGTTCATATGGGTCCTCATTACCATAGTTCTTGAATGACAGTTTAGTGTACTGTATTACGTGTGCATCTCCACATGCGTGTTCACGAATCTAAGTCATTAAATCTGAATGTTAAAGACTTGACTGTGGCTTGAATTGCTCAACTATAATGGCTGTGGATTTGTCTCTTCACCAAACATCATAGTTTCGTATTTCAAAACTATGCTTCCGTGGATATCCAAATATGTTTAACTGTTAATAGTGTACACATATGTAAGAAATTTGTCTGTGTTTTTAATGACTAATGCCGTGAACAATAATGCCTAGTTACCCAAATTAGCGATTACAGTCTGAATTTTCACCAATTGATTACTTTTTAGTGACTAAACATTTGTTAGCATTCATGAATCAGTCCGTACATTTTTCTAGCCGTTCGGATCATAAAATGTAGTCTTTCGATATGAGTGATAATCCGAGATGGAATAATTTGTTTTCTCAATTAATTAATTGTTACATATTAATACAATTAATATCATTGTTATTATTGATTTTAAGTAAATAGTAATGAAGAATCTTGAGAATAAAACTATTTCATGTTTTATCGTTTAAAACAAACTTTCTTTGTTAGTGTATGTCTAACTTCTGGAATTTGAAGAAATAATTCACCATTTGTTTTCATTAGCTGACAAGATGTCTCTTGATATAACTGTTTACTAACTTCACGATGTACAGCTGTAACTATATCAAGAATACTTTCATTTTGTAATCCTTTATATAATCGTTTACATAATGCCTGAATATAAACAGTACCACCGGTTGGATCTCTTTGTGCACGGAAACCAGCAACAGTTGCATAACTTAGTAGAAAGTCAGCATAAGTGGGAATTAACTGTACATTGTTCAATTGATGAAGTGGTATAGAATTATGGAGTAAATTGTCTAATTTGAAACCGATAAATTTCGCATCAGAAACGGATAGTCTTAGATTTAACCTGGATGACTGATGTTGAATAAAATTATCAACATCCTCTTGATCAGTTAGATCATTTTTAGTTTGAGTAGTTTCATTTGATTGTTTCTGTATAACATAACCTTTTTGATAGTCTTCACCACGACATGCTTGAATAAAGAATAATTTTGGTTTACCAGCTAGAGAAGGGCAGTTATCAGCTGTAAATATGGAAGTTAATTCATGTATTGATAAAGAATTTCCATCAACTCCATATATCCGACCAATAGTTCCATGTGACATAAGGCATATTACTAAACAATCATATTCATGATGATCTGTTTTCTTTCCTAAGTGTTCCAGTTGAGCTTGTATTTCACCAGCTGATAGATTACGAAGTAATTTCACCAAAAAGTTAAATGATCCAAAAACATTTTCCAAACTCTTCTCATCAATGTCACAGCCAGAACGATTCTGTAAGAAATGTGAAGAGAAAACATTATTGACTTTATCACTACGTTGAAATACCGTATAAGTTCAGTCAGGTAGTAAAGTGACTTAGACAGGGAGTTATACAAAGAGTGGGACCAGGTACTATTGGATATCAGTTAAGTTTGATACATTTCATATTACAACAATCGTTAATACTGGGCGAATAACTGAAAATGTAAAACTTTAAAAGCTATTCTCTGTGAAATCAGTACTTATATTTTAAAATCCCATTTACTAAACACTTGGATTATGGTATTGCCACATTGTCTTAATTTCAGACTTTTATTTGCCTTATTAACCACCATTATGTCTTTTACCACTTATGAATCACAGTAATTTTATCACAAACCTTTGACTCAGTTTCGTACCATAAATGTCCCAGTTTTGTACAAACAGGGTAGTACAATGTGCTCAGCTGATCGTTCTGGCGTTCCAATTCATAGATTGTGGGACGGATGAACGGTCTATCTTTTGACACACTAAGTGTCAGTAAACTCATACTGGATTTAAACAGAAAATAAATTTATAGTAATAACCAGAAATCAACAGATCGAATGTCAAAGAACTGATAATAATGATATCAATGAAAGTGAAAATTCATTATCTTTAATATGGTCGGAAAAATAAATGGAACAAAAGAATGATAAGTATGAAATAAATTTTATGCTCAATGACTAATTTGATAAAATTTACTTGACTGCAATATTTTTCTGAGACATCAAATCGAACAATCTTTTCATCACAGATGAGCATAATTTGAATTATTTTCAAACATTAAAACGTATCAGTTGGATGCTTCAACCTATCCTGAAATTATTTATTGATATAATAATCGTGATTTTTAAAGTTCCAGTTCATTTGCTAGAAATGATACCATCCAATTATGAAGTCAAAAAGCAATGATTCGTATTTTCCAATCTCAGTCGATTTTTAATATAGTGAAAGCACGCTCAGTGCTTCATAAATTCCAATGGCTTATCGGTTCCTGTCTTTTGTGGATAATATCTCTCAGATCACACAAATTTGATAAGGTAACTTATTTGTTTACTTTTTATTTCAATAAATAAATACGAACTGGTTAGGGGCATTTAATAAACTATAGATATCCCCAATAGTAATAGATGATAATAGCGTAGTGTCATTCACAAAGTGACTGAAGCTAAAGATCCACACCATCAGGCACTAACTTGGTGGTTTGAAGGCTATTCACAAGCTGAGAGCTATGAAATTCTCGGAGTTTGTTAACTAATTATCTTCACTGTTAATGAGTTTCGTGATAGAATGAAAAAGCTGACCAGTGCTTTCTGGTTATTAGTGGTTGTGGATGGATGAAAAGCGAATGTCCGGCACTCTAACCGGGTTGGTGGACACGGAGATTCCACCTAGGGGAGTCGGAAAGCCCTGATTCCAAACTAGTGGTGCACATAGGCCCCAGGATCCTGAGGAAACAAATGGTGTATGAACCTATTGTTGGTCACCAGCCACCATGGGACTGCATCGCCTAGCGTTGTTCCACTGCCTTGTGGATTAGACCTCTAGGTAAAGAAAATTCGGTGAGTAGTCCCCTAAGGAAATCACCTGCTTCAGTTTGGGAGTCCGAGCAATGTCTCGGACCTCATACAAACCAAATGATGATTACTACTGGAAAAATTACTCTTGCTTCAACACTCATTCAGACAAATTTCAGTCTTAATCAGTTGGTAACATTTTTTCGTTTCTTTTATACTACATCACTTATCTACTCCCTTTTATCCCCATTTTGTGTATTTTTTTTAAATTTTTCAGCTGCTGCAGAAGCTCGCCTATGGTGGAAATTATGTCCTGTTTGAACAATCTCAAGCCAGTGACTGGTTGAAAGTTGAATGCTACCACTGACTATGATTGCTGAAACAGACTTCCTCAAATCATCCAAACTGGCCTCCTTCAACGTTTGCACACTAATGCAGGTTAAACAATAGATAGGGTTGAATATGTCTTTATAAAGTCTTAGTGTCGACGTCTGTTGTCCATCCATCGTCGTTTGATTTTTCTGGCGTTGGTATCGCACTAAGCGCTGTAGCTGAGGCAGCACTGACTGGGTGGATCCCCATTACCAGTCGTTTATGCGCTGTTAGATTGGAAAGCTCCACCAAAGTGCGCAGAAATCTGTATGAAAAACAATGTCTTTTCGTCATCTACGCCTATGCTCCGAAAGATTACAGCCCAGATGCGATCAAGGATGAGTTTTACCACTAGTTAACTGTTCTTCTACAGAAAGTGCATTCAATAGATATTGTTGTACTAGCCGGAGATTTGAATGCTCAGGTCGGGCGTCTAGGCATAGAAGAGAGTCGTTAGGGTGGTCGGTGGGGACTTGTTGGTCGCAGGTCAGATAGCGGAGACCGTCTACTGCAACCGCGCGCAGACCACAACCTGTTTCTGGCTAGCACTAACTTCCGGCAGTCATCGCCGATGTGTCGCCTGGCGTCCTCCATGTGCATCTCAAGCCTGGACTCAGATTGATCACATCGCGGTCAGCGACCGCTAGCGTGGCTGTGTAAAAGACTACCGCTCCTTTCGGAGTACCTATCTGAACTCTGATCATACCCTAGTCTGCGCCAATCTTACCTTACTTTTCAGTGGCCAATGAAGTGACCGCCACCAAAGGATTGATGTCAGCAAATTGGTTGTAAATTCTGTTGCAACTAAGTATCAAACCGAGCTAGCTTCTAGGTTAGCTATTACTTACTTACTTGCGCCTGTTACTTCCAATGGAACATAGGCGGCCGACCAGTATTCTCCAACCCACACTGTCCTGGGCCTTCCTTTCTAGTTCTGTCCAAATTTTGTCAATTTTTCTCATATCTGTCTCCATTTCTCGGCGTATTGTGTTCTTTGGTCTTGAGGATTCCATGTGAGGGCTTGTCTTATGATGTAGTTGGATGCTTTCCTCAATGTGTGTTCTATCTACTTCCAGCGCTTCTTCCTGGTTCCTTCCTCTGCCAGGATCTGGTTTGTTCTCTCCCACAGTATGTTTCTGATAGTTTAGATGTTCATTGGCTGCAACTTCATGATACCATAAAAACGTTGAGTAAAGTAGCTTATGACTTCGTAAAACGTCCCGCTTATAAGCATTGGGTTTCTACAAGCTCCTTACAAGTGATCAAAGCACGTCGGTCTACTCCAAGTGACCGTGAATTTGACGATAAATGAAGATTTTTACATAGTGAAATTGCGGAAAGCTTGCGTAAGGACCGAGAAGTCTGGTGGTCGGAGTGTGCTAATGAACCGGAAATAGCGGCTGCTTCCGGTAACTGCTGGAAGTCTCGGACAATAGGCTGAGTTTTTCGAGGAATAATTCGAATAGTCTGCTTCCCTGAAAACATAGACCAGCCTGTACTACTCTTCATGGCCTGTGACGACTGATCCACCTAACGAAACAGAGGTCTGCAAGAAACTCGAAATCCTGAAGCGCCACAAATCACCAGGTCCAGATGACTTGCTTCCAGATCTTTTTAAAGATGGTGACGACCTTTTGGTTAAGGAACTGACTGAGTTGGTTACAGAGGCCTGGCAATTAGAGTGTCCCAACATCCTGGAATGAATCTAAAGTTGTCCCTGTCGGGTGATAAGTCTACTTTCGGTTGCGTCCAAACCATTGGTTTCCGTTATAATTGGTAGATTGTTCGAACCCGGGATAGATTGACTCGCAAGGAGCAGGCTGGTTTCTGTTCTGGTTGAGGGTGTGTTGATCATGTTTTCACCCCCACCAAATGGTAGAACAGTGCCATACTTATCACAGGCCAACAATCATAGTGTTTCTTGATATTAGGGCCGCCTTCGTTTCGTTGGACAGGACCGCTCTGTGGGATTGTTTATTGAAGAAAGGTCTGTCTGAGAAATTGATTAACATCCTGAGAACCCTATATACAAACATTTCAGGCAGATTGAAATGATATGGCCATTTCTCTCTATTGTCCCACCCAAGCAATGGAGTAAGCAGGATTGCCCAATCTAACTATTCCTCCCCGACTTTGCTCTGATGGAAGTAGGCAATGGTGGTATGGATCTGTTGCATAGAGAAAAACTTTGACCTCGAGTATGCGGATGATATTATTTTACTGTGCGATGATATCCAAATCATGCAATCCGCACTTAATCTGTTGTCAATTAGTGTCCGTAGACATGGCATGTGCTTTGTACCTTCGAAAAACAAAGTGCTTTTACAAGACTGTCAGGACCCTGCACTCACTTTGAGTAGTGAGTAGATAGAGTTAGTGGAAACGTTCGTGTATCTAGGTAGTTGTGCAAGTGCTACTGGTGGTATGAGTGGTGAGATCAATTCATGTATAATAAAATCCAGAGCGGCTTATGCCGATTTAGACCATCTTTGGCGCCTTCGTGATGTTAGTCTGGCTGTAAAAGGTCGGACCTACAACTCATCGGTGAGAGCAGTTTTGCTCCATGCTCGTGAGATCTAACCTCTCCGAGTTGAGGATGTTAGGTGAATCTCTTTGTTTGATCATCGTCGTCTCCGTAGGATTGCTGACATCCAGTGGCAACACCATGTTAGTAATGCAGAGGTTCGGCATCGTATGTTCAGGTAGAGCGACGATAATTCAATTGCTGTCACCATGTTGAAACACCGACTTCGGTGGCTTGGACATGTCCTACGAATGTCGCCGAGAGAATTCCACGTCGCGCATTATTTGCTGACTCTGGTGTAGTGAACAAGAACACGGGTGGGGACAATCGAATGTATTTAGCACAACAATTACAAACTATCTCAATAAAATATGAATACCATATAGTAAATCGTCAATTTGCAAAATATTCATGCATCAAATCCAACTGGACTGTTTCTGTTGCAAACACCAATCCATTGTCTCCCATTCCATTGTTCATGCGTTTTCTTACAAATTCCATTGTGTTCTCGCTCTTTCTTTCTTGATCTTCGCCATCATCTTCCGCTGCCAGACATTACGTTTTAACTCGCGTCATAGACTACTCATATCGATATAAGTAGCTCACACCACGCTGGGACTGGTAGGAAAAAGCGGAGAGTTGGTCAGTGTATGATATGGCGTCGTGATATGAAAGAGAGCTGTACAAGACTGGCTTCTGTTGCTACTTCAGGACTCCCTGTTTGTGGTCCTAGAGATGGTGCAACACCGGCTAGAGACGTTACCGGATCTTGCTCAGAATAGAAACCAGTGGCAAACCTGTTGTAACTTTATTTTATTTCATAAAAAATGGACGTTACTTTTGTAACTGGAAGAATTCTTCCTGGTTATGCCTTTGCTAACTGAATTGCCTCTCCTATTATTATTATTATTATTATTATTATTATTATTATTATTATTATTATTATTATTATTATTATTATTATTCCACTATCATGCACAAATTTCCGTTCGTTATTGTACTTCTTTTTATTATACGCATTTTACATTTTCTATCTCTTCACAACCTCATTGTCATTGTGTGACGCATATGTATTTGGTGTCTACTTTGAACCAATGTTTATGTGCTCAAATAAATTTAGAAAAATAAAGTATACACAATGCTTGTGACTTTATGGTAATATGAAGGTAATCCATACAGGATGCACATATGCCAAAACAGACTGATCAGTTGCAGTCATCAACAGCAATGGAAAGATTTAAACAACCAAGACATATCTACGTAGTACATTTTCCACTTTCATGGACTCATTCTATAATTTTTTATTTAATAAAGAGGTTCTATCTTAAGAGCTGTATTAAATCATGTAGTTAAAGTCACATTTTACTCATAACATTAATTATATTTGATTTTAATCACAACTTACCTGAAAATCCGAGTGCCAAAACATCATGTTGTTAATGATTAAACAAATACCTTTTCTTGTACTGTTCATCTTGTAATAATCGTCAGAATCATCTTCATTATTATTATTGTTAGTAGTAGTAGTAGTCGTTGTTGTTGTGGTTGTTGTTGTTGTAGCAGTAGTAAGTGCATCCATTTCAATTTTATTGGTAATATTAATAATGTTATTAGTAATTAATTGACAAATCTAAAAAAGATTGAAAGTTGATCAAACTATTAGTTGTAAATCAGTGTTAATCAGCTTTAAGAACTGCCTTTACTTTTAAAACTTTCGAACTTTACAACCTGTCATACATGAGTTCCAACAAGTTCCTTGGTAATACTACGAGGTTGTGAAATTATCTATAAAAGTGTGTGTAGATCTCAGTGAACTACAAATCTCATAGATTTGAGTTGGATCTCGTTTACAAATCAAAGTGTTGTGTTATGGAAACCAAGTGTTTCAGTTGCATGATCATTTTGGTATAATTGTGGACTGAAAAAGAGGATCCTAACATTTGATAAATTAATCATAATATTTCATTACATGATCCATTCATTGTATCAATAAACATAAAACTCATTAGGCTGTCTGGAATGACCATGATGGATTAATTTTGTACTAAATAATTTGGAAAATGTACCTGACAACTCCAGTTTTGATTGGACAGACACTGAGTTCTCTGAATAACTGGTTGACTACATAATTATTTAGCTTCCTACAATTTTTACGATAGTAAGAAAAAATACTCATCGAGAAGCCATTGTAATCTAAAACACTGAATAATATATTTGGTGTGTTCTGTTCTATTTGTGGCTTGTCAGCTGGATAAGCGTGCATCCTTGTATTGATGCATTCATACTGAGATTTGAGCTCACTGTCTTCGCTTCAAGCACCCAGAATGCTGTCTATTGAGTTTATGTAGCTACCAACTTGTTCAAAGGGCATGAATGAGTTAGTTATTATAGAATGAGTACCGAAACTGCAGTGCAACACTAATTTCGAAATGCATTAATTTGTTCAGAGTCTATAAAACTTAAATAATAATGACTGTCTTAGAACTTACATTTTTGTCCTCAGACTCTTTTTTCTGCTGATGAGCCAGTTGATCAATATTTTCAGGCTGTAATATCGGGTTATCTTGTAGTGTAGTAGCGAAAGGAGTATTATTTTTACAAGTAGCAATACATGGTTCATTTGAACCATCTGGTTGTAAAAAGTATAAGAAGGGAATTTAATCAGATTTACAAGATACACCACATGAATCAAAAGTTTGTATTTACACACAACGATGGCAGCATTTGAAAATATATGTAGCAAATTGGCGAAATCGACTGGTTTCGGATTTCCGACTAATTTAAACTCAATAGCTTGTGGAAGCAATGAAGCTAGGGTTTTTCTAGTAAACTGTACTACTATAACCAATCACTTAATAAAGGTGGTAAAATAATTGTGCTTTATTAAAAGATTATGAACTATTCTCATGGTTACTTCACCTCGCATAGCTTAAACCTATTAAAATGATTTCCCAAGTATTAATAAATCCAAAATCAGATCTCACTCAGTCAACTAACTAATCAAAACTAATTAATATGTCATTGTAAAATATCATTGATAAACACTTGAGATAGGGGATTATTTGAGGATGATTATATTTCTAAAACACCGATTATATCGCTTACCAATTTGTCATTTCTTCTTAGTAAGCTTAAATTTTCATTGCTCTTCACTAAATTTCCCATCGTCAGGGATCTATTATTCTTACTCCCGGCCTGTGTGAGTTTTGATGAATCACTTTCTTAGTAATCTGTTTCCGTGTCCTACTTCCAAAGCCACTGTAAAAGTACCTGTTTGGTTAGTTCATTCTACTTTAGTATTTCTAATCGATATTTTTTTCTCTACTGGTATGAGTTTAGTGTCAGGAGTAACTCAGTGTACAATAAATACGTATAAGATATGTAAATCTCAATGAATAAACATCATTGGAATCATGAACCGATCTACTTTGGACCACTATTGAGAACCTGGAAGCACCGGACAGCAGCTTCTTCCTAGTATGGGACTCCTTAGCAGTGCACATCCACGACCCCGCATGCGGAAGTTGAAGCCGGTTACACGCGCGAACGTTTAATACTAAGACCACTGGGTTAGGATACTTCAATCAGTCCACGAAAGTGCGTGAGTGTCTCCTATTGTCTTTGATGAGTATATTCCTCATACTCTATATAGTTTATCTACACTGGTCACGGCTTTCAACTAGAAATCCGGAAAATTCCTCTCAAAGTTAGTCATTAACGCATGATAATTGTCAGTATAAGGTTGTGGAGATCCCAATGACATTCAACTATCTCCACAACCCTAAACTGGCAAATAAACATCAGTTAGCTCAGAAATTATAGGACACAAAATGTTTTTCTACCTTTCCCTGGAAATTTTTTGAGTCATAGCTACTAACTTCATTAATCTCACATAATGACTGAACTGAAGGGTTTTTGAAGATCTGGTCAATTTAAAAACATTCTTATTATGAAGTGAATTCAGTTGACGAGCTGTTGGAAAGCGGAGAACACTGGACAGTTTCTTAAGCCTAGTTTGAGGCATTGCAGAAGTTTGTCTTTGTGACTGTTAGTAAAATTAAAGATAAAATCACATTCATATGTTGATTCTTTTTTATTTAGTGTCCGAAAGAACTTCATCAATGATATCATATAACGAAATAATGTAGTTCATCTTCGTAGTGATTAAAATACTGGACTTTTATTTATATTTTCTGTGTTTGAAGGATAATGTTTCTTAAACGGAAGTGGGTAAAGAATTGCTTGATGTTGTTGTTTATATCAACAAACCATTAATCCCTAGGGACAATTATACCTACACATATTTCACTGCTTAAACTAAAATGATTTTTGAATAGTTCGTCAACATTATTTCCAGCTGCATTGCCGAAAGGAACATATTTGAAAGTAAGTCTGTACTGGAAAACGTATTATTTTCCAAAAAAATGTTGACACTAATCAACTGAAAAATAGAACTTTTAATAATCGCTACTTTATATTTTAAACAATAACAGGAATGCTGTGAAGTCTGATGATACAAAATCCTCACTCTGAATGATAAATACTAAAAGATTCTACAACTATACATTACTTTACACGAGGATCATTATTCATTGGAGTGAGAATGAACTTTTTTCTTTCTTTTGTTTTCTTAATTGTTGGAGACTGAGTTAAGAATAACTTCATCGGAGAGAGGATTGAACAAATTCTGTTGAAGAGTATTATACTTCGTTTCCACTCATTAGTTTAACCTATGTGTTCAGAATACAGTTGACATTTTGATTTGTGCAACTAGAGTTGAGTCATAATACTTTGAGGATAAATAGAGAGAGACAGACATTTGTCCCGTAAGCTACAAATAGATTTTGTCGATAACTGCTATTCACCAAATCCAATCACACTTAACACCGACAACAGTTTTTACAGATAATCCAACAAATATTGAATACACTATTCTTTTTTTGAATAATGTAGTATTGGGTTTGTACAGAGATTCATATATATTATATGTAATACTAATTAAGTCTTGGTAGTATTATGTTGAATGAATCATGATTGTATTGAGTTAATACTCTTTTACATAAGCCTACTGATAATAACATTAATAATCACAGTTGTTGAGTATTTCGTCCTTTATTATTATTATTATTATTACTAAGGTTAAATGACCTTACGTGCACACAACATTGTTTCTAACGTTTTGTAAATGTTATTTGAAAATAAAGACTTTTTAAAGTTAATTTACGTATATTGCTTAAATAATCGATGATAAGATTAATTTTCAGAGTTTTGATAAGATGTGTTAAAAAGTTAAGTTTGAGAGAGAAATTACCATGACACCTGGACTCGAACCAGTGATTCTTAATTTATTGAATCAGAAAACTAGTACTGATAAATGATTAAAGAGTTCGTAAATTAAGTTACATATTAGGTGATAATTGTGAACCTATGTTTTCATTCATTGATACTAATCAGTATCCACAACCTCGAAAATTTAAATCTTGACTATGATGGTTAAATTCATACAATTATAAATCACATTCAAGTAATTTGGTTCTAATCAGTCGATTCCATAAGTAAGACAGTTCTGGGTCTAACTGTAAACAGTAATTCACTGATAATCAAGATCGCTTATAATTAAAGTTAGCTAACATTTGTTAATTAGAAGACTTAAGTATCACAATATTATGAGCTCAATCTTGAATTTTTAAGGGTTCAACTACATATTTCAAGATGAAAAGTGAAAGTCAAGGAACTTATCTTAATAGTTCTGTATAAATTAATTTAATTCATTTGATCAAATGAATATTATTATGATATTCCCTTACTGTTATGCATTCACAAATCGATCGGATTTGATATCGTTATAATGAGCTATGAATTAACATTATTTTCAATTCAGTGACATTTTCCATAAGAATAAAAGGATAGAAGAATTATCTTTATATTCTAATTAACATACAGAAGATTGTAGGCTTGGAGGATTAATCATTAACAGTTATTTACATTACACTACTGTTACTGAAAATCTATTCTGATATTATACGTGTATGTAAAACATCCATGAGATTTGATTTTATAAAATGATAATTTTTTTTTAAACTACACATAATTTATTGCTCATAAGGACTATACAAAGTTTCATATTTAAACCCTTATAGTTTCTATTTGTTTATATAAATTGAAATAGATCAGAATATAAACGGTCCGATAAAGTTTATAAATTATGTTGATAAATTTAGTATATTACGGTTTGATTTTAGTTAGACAATCATTGAATAAACAGAAATAGAATAAATAGCTTCTGATTTATACTAATTCAGGCCATTATTTAGAATGAATAAGGTACTATCTAAAACTTCATATAATTGGCTTATACTCTAATATGAGTTAATGGGTACTGTTAATAGGTCTGCTAATAATACAACTGTCCATTGTTCCCTATTTTTCATTGGTTGACTAACTAAAATCAATTTGTGATGCAAACTATGAAATTCAACAATGTTCACGAATGCCCTATACCAGTAACATTTAATTGCTCACGATTATCTGATTTCAGAAGGTGATTCTTTGAGTTTTAGTGAAGAGCTATAAACAATCGAGTTCAGCTATCTTTATTATGAAGCAATTACATACCGATAGTGTTGGAAGATGGTTGAGCAGTATTGTAAATTAATTCAGGTTAAGAAAAAGCAAACTGCAGGGTTCGAATTCTGTGGTTTAAAAGTGAAGTGATCTCTGCAGCATGTGAAAGTATTGGATTCTGTCCATGATGAGGTCGTCTATGCGCACCTATGAAGAGTCCATTATTAGGGCCAAACAACTGTCCTGTGCCTCCTGGTTTTCAAAAGTTGTTAAAATGTTCGATTAAAAGACGAAATCTTTTCGATTTGCTTGAAAAACGTTCATGAGTAATTAATAACTAGCTACCTATCTATAAGACCTAATATATTTATATCAGACAAGTGAATAAAAAATTAACTAAAGGTTAGGCTTTTACGTTTATTAGAACTAGTATCTGGCTGTAAAAGATTATTCGATAAACACTGTCTAGTGCGTTTCCTTGACCACCATATAAGGAGTCAATCTTTAACACATACGTTCTCTAAAATGCTCTCAAAACCGATTCATAATTTCATCAACATAAGCCTATTTAATTTCATATGACATTCAAAGTTAGAAATGTAATTCATTGAATCCTTACTCAGTAGTTTAAAAGTAAGGCATTCCGTATACTGCTCAAAGACTCTGAGTTTGAGCACTGACAAGTAAAATAATGTATAATTTTCAGAACTTTTATACTATGATAAAAAAGTTCAGTATAGTACCCTTTGGTTTTTGATGGTTGTCTAATCAATACCCGACCATGATATTAAATTTCAAAAGTATACAATGGATCACAACTGAATGATCACTGGGTGGCGATCAATGTCATGCTTATCTAGTACTTATTAGTGCAGATCCAATGCTATCGATCATGTTGCAATGTGGCCACCAGTGTAGGTGACTCGACACTGCGGGCACTATGTATTGAGATTTAGATGGTGGTTGGAGGTAGTCAACAGGAAACCCTGGACCCGGGTTTCGTGCTATTTGGCACTCGTCAGCAAGGTGTACTACCTCCAACCACAATCTAAATCTCAATACATAGTGCCCACAGTGTCGAGTTACCTACACTGGTGGCCACATTGCAACATGATCGATAGCATTCGATTTGCACTAATAAGGACTAGACAAGCATGACATTGATCACCACCCAGTGACCAATCAATTGTAATTACATCTCAGTCCTACAGGAGGTTAGTAGCTGCTCGGATAGCTCAGTGGTAACGTCTCTGACTGTGAAGCTGGGTGACACGAGATCGAATCCGCCAGGGAGCACCAGTTCCCTCAAGATTACAGGTACACCTTGCTGACGAGTGCCAAATAGCACGAAACCCGGGTCCAGGGGTTCCTGTTGACTACCTCCAACCACCATCTAAATACACAATGGATCATCAAAAGGAAAAAAGACCATTCTCACATGATTAGGTCCTTGCCATTACTTATTCTTAACTATTGAATATAAACACTTTAATTAGTCTGTTATTTATTAATTTTATATAATCGATAAATCAATACCTTTATCCTTAAAATCAATCCGTATAACAAACAATTTACTAATTTTATTAGGTATGAACTATAGTACAATGAATGAAAAAGTGTTTATTATTATTTAAATATATAAGTATTTTCAATGTTCTTCCATTAAATTTAGTAATTACTTAATATTCAGTATCGTGCTTTGACATTCCATTCTCAGAGTTTTACTAATTAAATCAATTAGTCAATTAAATCATTAATCAATCAATATATTGTCATTGACTTTAGTATTTAAGTTAGAAATGAACAAATAACCATATGATCAGAAATAATAATAATATCATAATCGATAGGAATATAGATATTTGAACAATGACTATAAGGTTACTGACAAATAAAATAACTGGTTTCTAACTCATTGGGATATATAACTTTATCTACTTACTAAATTATTGATAAAAAGTGCATTTTCATTACCACTTTGTCAAAGCTGGTAATAAAATATGTACCAATAAATATTCCAAAGGATAAGACAAGTCATTATTGAAAGTATTCTTCTATAAATTATCAGTCAGTCAGCTACAACGTAGGACCAGATAAATATATGCATCGATCCAAGTTGCCATTACCTTATTAGCACAGCAAGATGAACACCAGATTCTTAGAAGTAGTTAATTCAGAAGTGATAATATATAAAAGAAAGGTTGCAATAAGGATATAGTACAAGAAGAAAGATTTAGAAAGAAAGATATGAAGCGATTTTAATCTCATAGTTTAAAGGAAGACAAAGAGTTTATAGGCCTACGTCATTGTGATCGATTCTGAGCCATGTCACCCAGAGTCTTCAATCAATGGTTACAATAGCCATGCGGACCCCAACCAAGTAGTTTGCATCTATCAAAATGGCTAAGGCTAGAAGTTAATGACATCAAGCACTGATAATATTCATCATTCTATAACTTTAAACTTTGAATGAATATGCATTGGTTATGTTAAAAATGTTCGATGAATAAAATTCTCGTAAATAAAAAAAAGTTATGTAGAATAGGGAGAAAGGAGTTTGTCAAAATAGAGTACCTTTATAAATCATAGATTAGTTTATGCAAGACTAACGTTACTGAATTCTTTAATCCCGCGAGGCGAGGTAGTGGATGAGCCCCGCTTAGGAGTCCCACGATAGAATGAAACGGCCGTCCAGTGCTTCCAGGTTTTTCATGGTGGTCCAGCTTCAATTGGCTCATGATCCCAATTACTGAAATTATTGCAATCTCCACAAAAGCCCTTCCGACACTAATCAATATATGCTCACTAGTGACTGGTTTCAAGAGGTATTTCATGGAGTTCTAGTGGGGTGCAGTAACCAGTGGAGTTCAACCTGGTCAGTTGTAAGATAGTAACTCACTGATAACAGTAGTGGATGTGTCGCTTAATTTTCGTCAATTAGATGTGGTTAGACATTAACACCGATGGATGCAAGCTCAGTGGCCTAGTGCTTAAGCACTCGCGCGCGAGACTGATAGGTCCCAGGTTTGAGTCCCGCGAGGCTTGGTCATGGATGGGTACTACTGAGGAGTCCCACAATAGGATGAAACAGTCGTCCAGTGCTTCCAGGTTTTCCATAGTGATCTAGCGTCAACTGACTCATGATCTTGACTATTGAAATTAACTAAAGTTAATATCACTTACTATATTGCATTGAATTATTTTTATTTTGTTTATCATAAATATTTTCAATATAATTTTGTTCATTATTTAAACGAGAATTTCTATTTAATTCACGTTCATTTAAATCTACACGATTACCAGATAATCCACTAAAAGGTCTATTATAATACTTTTTATTATTATTCTGTTTCATTGATATATATGAAAATTTTGTAGATAATGTACGAACGGAATGATAATCTTCATCATTATATGAATAAGAATAATATTTTTTATTACTAATAAATTCATATTTCAAATTTAAATTCTTGTTTAATTGATCAATTGTTAAATGATTCAATGGATTTTTAAATTTTTTCAATTTCTTCTTTTTATTATTATTATTTTCTGATTTTCTAATTAAATTAGAATATGATTTTTTTATATTTAATTGATTCAAATTTGAAATTTTTGTATTTTTTATAAAATTATTTTGTTTAAATAAATATTGTCCAGAATTATATGAAGTTATAGATGAATTTGAATATTGAATTAATAAAGATAACATTTTTATATCTTTTATTATATTTTTAGCTAAATAAATACATGTATATCCATGTTTATTTGGTAAACGAATTGATTTATTATGATATTTACAAATTGTATTCACAATATCGTAACTGGAAAATTAAAAAAAATAAAGAATAATTAAAATAACTAATAATATCACTTATTGAATATGAAAAAGAGAATTTAATGAAGAAGAAAATTGTCTTTATGACGAAATCATTTACATAAGGTTTACATTGATTAGTATATAATCTCATTTGATAATAAGAATTTTGAATCTATTTTATGATGCAATCTTTCCTATCCTTTTATAGACATATGTTTTCCATATAACTATATATATGAATGTACAGCTGAAGTGAATGATTTCGTCGAAAAGAACATTTGGAGAGACTCTAATTTATGGACGACCTTTGAACGAATCTTAAGCGATCTTGAGAAATATTAGCTAATCAGCAAACAGTCAGTATACAAAACCAAGGAAATAAAGTGGATACACTTCTTTTACGTGGTTCAAAAACTTTTCAAGGTTAGAAAGAGGTTCAGAGGTTCTAAAATCGTAATGCATGAAGTAGAGGAAATCATCCATACGGCTACAGAATAGTAGGCCTCTGGAGTCATGATAAAGTCTCAAATACTCTTTCAGCATCGACCACACAGCTTCATTATTGTTTATATGCACTCCGGTTGTTGAGTGCACAAAATGCTACTTGTGGATAACGACACAATGCACATAACCAAGCCTATGTGGGAGTCTATAGGCTCTCCAATCATCCTTACATATTGTAGTACCTGGCTGCAGCCAGTGTTACTGATACTTTTATTATCTAGTTCGCGATAATTGTCGTAATTTGCCTTAGTTAGGAATTAGATATAGGGTTTTCATCACGAACTGACATAAGCTATAATGCCAAAAATCTATTTAGCCAAATGGATGAAAGGCTTTCACCTTAAAATCAGAGATCTATTATTTTAAACTTGATTGATTCGTCCACAAATTATAGTCTTGTCATTTTATTTGTTATAGCCGCTCAATTTCCACGTTTTGTACAAAATTCCCTGTGAACCGATCGTACGTTAGCATTAAGCACTGAAGTTCGCGCCGTAACCTTGAAATCTCTAAAACACCTCTGATTGGCTCGTCCATAAATTAGAGTCTCGCCGAAAATTTTCTTCTTCACTAAATTCTCTTTTTCTTATTCAAAAATCAGATATCTTTCTGATTGAAATCAATTGATTTGGTTACATTAAAAAAGTTTAAATGAATCAAATAATTATTTAAAATTGTAAAATATAAAACAATCAGTTCATTAAAGTTGAGAATACTTCATCATTACTATTCGACAATATTTTTTCTAGATTGATATTAAAACTGTGAAATGTTTATTTATCAATAAATTACACTAATATAACGTCGAAACTTAGATTACTTTGTAGGCAGTGATGAATAGTGAGTGGCTAGCCACGAACCATCTTTGATTATAATGCTTGTAAATTAAGGCAATATCGAGGCATACGCACAGTATACACATATGCCAATAACAGACTGATCAATTACAGTCTTAAATCTCAATGGGAAGATATAAGCTAAACTGTTATATCCGAGCGAAGATTAAATTACAGGTAACTCCCGAGGACTATTAATGGACTAATGTTCTATAAATATTCTTATTGTAAAACTATTGAATAATTAGATTATGTAAATTTATATTCCTCTTATTATAAGCTTTATTTTGATCTATAATTTATTATTGTACGATTTACGGTTCTTAATCTATGTTCAGTCTATTAATTATTATCTCCCTCGTTCACAGCCACTTTTTGGCTCATTTGTGTACACATGTTATTTTCTAATTTATGGTGTGTTGTGGTCTGTCTGTTTGATATATAAACCGAGTATGTTTGAAATAAACGATCTGCTCTGATTCGAACCTGGTATTGTGTTCTGAACTCAAGTGGAAGGGCTCGTAGGACATAGGACCAATAAGGACGCTAGACTGCCCACACCGTTTGAACGTCATTGGTTGGCCTAGTGTGAAGATTCGTATAAGTCGTATTCGGATTGGTCTATAGGTCGCGTGATAGCAAAACCAGACATCCAGGGTCATAACATAAACAATACCAAGTGAATTTAGATGACTTTGTTTGACACTTTTTGTAAAGTATTAGTAAAGTAGACAATTATAGGCGTTATTCACTTTAAAGTAACTTTCTACTGCTAATTAACATCATCCAAGAGATCAATTAAATAAGAAATGTAATTGATATTTACTTCATTCTCGTTTAAAACTTCTCACTATCGTTTATATGCAATACTATATCGGATTGAAAAATAAAACTTTTATGTTTCACAATGAGTATAACACTGTTTATATTACTGAGACAAAACTCAGTAATACATATTTTAAAATTTTAGTCAATTTTACCAGTGTATTGCTTTATCATTACCGATTTACTTAACTCTACAGATGATATATTTGCTCTAGAAATTTGTGAGGTCATTCTCAAATCCATTCAATATTGAACACAAGACTATTATTAATGTTGTAATTTGAGGCGATCCAACGTCGAATAATGGTTCCATTCAGTATAAGACTAAAAGGCCTTGAGTTTGGTCTTTTGTGTATGGAGCTATTAGTGTGCATTTTTGAGAAATCTCAAACTGGAGCGGAAAAACTTTCCAATGATCCCGGATTTTTAGTCATTTTCTAGCTAACGTTAGTCAGTAATGAAAACCAATACTTCAAAATCGAAAGTCTTAGGTACAGAGATATATTTTTAAAGGTGATCAATGATTTGGAATGAAACTTTCAAAGTTAATAGAAATCTCTTCCACTATTATTTCCTGATTTATGAAATGGTTGTTTAATTAATGTTGGGTTTTTATGAAAAGTCTTAGAGGTCACATGTACTGCAACCTGCAATTCTATCTTGAATCTTGAGTAAGTAAACACTGTTCAATACAACCTAAATATAAATTATCTTTCATCAAAACCATCAAGAGAAAATTATAAAAACCTGATTTTTAAGCTGTGGGTCATAAAATGTGTTTGGTATCATGATATATAAACACTAGACTCCCTAGCGACACACATAGACGAACTCAACGAAGATCGAACTCAGGACTTTCAAATATGAAGTAGAGTGCTTGATATTTAAACTGACGCGTGTCCTGAATGTTCATAGTTCAACCATGGCTGAGTTTGTAGACGTGCACTGCTGAGGAGTTTCATACTAGGGTGAAATGGGCTATTACAGACTAGTGTATTCGAGAAGTATGCATTACTCGACAATTGTGAATCACAATAAGCTACCCAATCATCTCTCACTTTTCTTAAATTGTCTGATAAGTATTATAATAACTTATCAAACACAATCGCTAATTCTACCTAAAAGATAGTAAAAATTCCAGATTTCTTATAACTGATCAAATCTGCTTTATCATTTAAGTGATTATGATTATGTCGCCGCCTAAAACTGATTTCATTCCATAATGTTTGTATTTATTATGTAAACTAGCTTTGATATAGTATATCAATCACAAATCCGGATTAAAAATGTTCAGCCAGCACTTGATTTTGCAATCGTGTCCCGATGATTCCTTCATAAATTAGAAACTGAAAATTCCAAACTAAAGAAATGGTAAGTTAACGAACATACAGTTTATCCATTACTGCACAATGTAGTGCCGTATTTCCATTTTTATCTGTCAGTACACAGAATTCGTCAAATAACTTCCCCTTAGAATTCAATTCTTCTTTCGGTTGCTTCCTATTTTTAATACACTGACTTTCATAACATTTACTTATTAGATCAACATCATGTAATAGTTGGTTTACTGTTTCTATATTTTTGGAATAAACCGCCAAATGTAAAGCTGTACCCTGACTGGTTGATTCAATTTCAGTCGTTTGCATACATATTAACTGATACAGTTCATTTGTTCTTAAGAATTTATCGGATGTGTTACAATTTAAAAGTGATTTGACTGTTGTCGCCAGTCCCAAATGACAAGCCAAATGAAGACATGTCCAGTTATTCTGAAGATTTCTTTGGATAATATTCACCATATCTGTATTCAAGAGTTGTACAACCTGAAATTATTTAGAACGAATATATTTTTAAACAAATTGAAATGTATACACAATCATGAAGCCTATTAAGAACAGAAGATAAACTAAACTAACTTGTTAAAATATAATTCAAACTACAAAGACCGGATGATTATGCTAGCGAAATGTTAGGTATTTCAAATCTATTCAGTACTTAAAAAGATAAAATGTGAAAAAAACAGCATCCAGTAATGTGGAATTGTAACAGTATAAAGGATATTCATTGTAGTTAAAATTTCTAATTAACCATATTGAAATGATCTATGTGTTAGATAGTTGTTTCTATATTTTGAAGCTCCAAAGTTTCCAGTATACATTCCATACCATACTAACTCAAATGAATAAATTGTTTAAATTCTTTTCTTTTTAATTATTCGAAGTTGATTATTCAAACCAACGTTGTATAAACATTGGAATTGCTTTACGCTGATTTAAAACTGAGTTTACAACTTAATGCATGATGGATGATTTACTTCGACTACTTAAACTCCCAATCATTATAAATGTTCTCATTTCAATTTAGTTGAAATGTTACTTTGTTCCCTTGAATTATACAATATGAAGTGTTTATTACACAGAAGCAGAAAAAGTCTACAACTTATAATCATAATAATAGTTGTGTTTTATGCTTTATAGTTTCAATAACTCAATAACTAACTAAATAATTAATCAATAAATCTAGGGACCTACTAAGCGAATTGTAAATTTTAAGGTCAGATCATTAAAATGATTAATTTAGAAAAATTTATATACAGAACTGATATCGATGATCAATTAATTAATCTATGTATAGAAAATTTCTGATTGATTTCTTTCGTCTTTGTACGGTGAAAAGTCTCATTTAAACATTTAGTAAAAAGGAAAATAAAAGGAAGAAATTTCTGGTAAAGGGGTTGTGAAGTTTATTAAGTTTTTGATCGAGACCATTAACCGATCGATGTTAGACCACCTTTGGAAACCTAGAAGAGCTGGATCGTGGATGCACACTGCTGAGGAGTCCCACAATAGGACGAAACGGACGTCCATTGCTTCTAGGTTTCCAAAGGTGGTCTGATATCAGTCGGTTCATGATCTCACTCAGGAGACTTACTTACTTACGCCTGCTACTCCCAATAGAGCATAGGCCGCCGACCAGTATTCTCCAACCCACAATGTCCTGGGCCTTCTTTTCTAATTCCATCCAATTCTTGTTCATTTTTCTCATGTCTATCTCCATTTCCCGACGTAATCTGTTATTTGGTCTTACTCTCCTCCTTTAGCCTTGAGGATTCCATGTGAGGGCTTGTCTTGTGACGCAGTTGGGTGCTTTCCTCAATGTCTGTCTTATCCACTTCCAGTGCCTCCTAATTTCTTCCTCCGCTGGGATCTGGTTTGTTCTTTCCACAGTTGGTTGTTGTTAATATTGTCCGGCCAACGGATTCGAAGTATTTTGCGTAGACAACTGTTAATAAACACATGTACCTTTTGGATGATGGCTTTCGTAGTTCTCCAGGTTTCTGCCCCATACTGTAGAACTGTCTTGACATTTGCATTAAAAATCCTGACTTTGGTGTTGGTTGACAGTTGCTTTGAGTTTCAGATGTTCTTCAATTGTAAATATGCTACTCTTGCTTTACCAATCCGCGCTTTCACATTTGCATCAGACCCACGATGTTAATCAATGATGCTGCCCAGATATGCAAAGGTTTTTACATCTTCCAAATCTTCTCCGTCAATTGTGATTGGGTTGGTGCATGCTGTGTTATATCGGAGAATCCTGCTTTTCCCTTTATGTATATTGAGACCTACTGCTGCTGAGGCTGCTGCCACACTGGTCGTTTTCTCCTGCATTTGTTGTTGCGATTGCGATAGGAATGCCAAATCATCTGCGAAGTCTAGATAGTCCAGATACATCCTAGATGTCCACTGTATACCGTGTTTCCCGTCACTCAATCAGAAGAAATTTCTTTTAAATTAGGTTTTTGTCATAGCTCTATACTAATATGTATGTACGTGATATATATATAAATATATATATATATATATATATATATATATATATATATATATATATATATATATATATATATATATATATATATATATATATCTGAACATGCTACTGTAGCGCATCTCGACTTGTTAGGCATAAAAAAGCATAAATTGTTAAATTAGAGCTTGAAATGAAATCCCGTGTGAATATTGTGCACTTATATGTAGCGTTCGTTAACCAAATGAACGAAAAACAAATGCTAGATATAGCATAACTATTAAACATTGGGAAACAGATACATAGCAAATTTATGAACATTCAGCCCATCACCATTAATCGAAATCGGTTTTTAGTTTGAACGTCAAAAGTTTGTAAAATACATTGATTAATCAACGTCCTACTGAAGACCCCTTGCAAAGATTGCATAACATGACATCTTAATACATTAAGTATTTTTATTGACTTTGTAGCCATTAGCTAATATGTACCAACGTATTAGATACAATACTATGAATTCTCTCAGACTGAAATTTCCAGTATGAACTAAGAAATTTATTTGTTGTAAAAAAGTTGAATTAATGTACTACTGATCCATAGCTCTCGAACAGAAGATATATGATTTTCGGAAGATAATTTTTTATTCCGTTCAGTATAAGTTGTTTGTTGTTTGAAATTATCATACCTTTATAAAGGCAAACGACAGTGAATTCGTCAACCATCTTAATAACAACAACAATAGTCGATACATGTGTAGAAAGTTTTTAACAACAAGGAATATCACACAAATGAATGAAACTACTGTGTTCAATAACAGAATCATTCACCCCCATAAATAGAGATGAGAAATTTTAACTTTCTTTTTAATATTTTCTTCCTGAATTCAACAAAACTCTTAAATGAATGAATAAACAATGATAATCAACACAAAATCAGGTTGAATATTTTACTTACTGGAAAAAGAAAGAGGAAGAAATCATGTCATTAACTACATATGAAGACCTGTATTACTCGGTGAATCACACTTATTTTAAGATAGTTTCCAGTTCTGATTGAGAGTAACTGCAGAACCATGGAAAACTAATCATTATTAAATAGATATTTAGCCCTAGATTGAGACTCCTCAATAGTTTGCATCATGCCCTTGGCAAGAATTCAATATTAGACTGAAGGTTTCTAAGTTTTTTCAGAGCCAGTAATTATTGATCTCATGATTACTGATAAAATAGGATTTTTGTACACGTTATTGAGGTGCCTCAAACTATGGTGAAATAGTTCGCCAGTGTACCCTGGCTTTCAATAGTTCGGTGATGATTTTTGCATTCAAATTGAATAATCGCGTCACAGATCTCCTTTACCGTTATTCTCACTTGTTTTAAAAATATTGGAGATAATTATGGTAACTATAATCAAAATGAATGGATTAAGCTAAGATCCGTTTTGATTCATTCGATATTCAGGCACCCTTAAATGAATAGACCAAATATACAAATCCTATTACTGCTAATGTAAACAATTGATATGCGCAATTAAAATGATTTATTTCGTAGAACTTAGGTCAACTGAAGATAGATTTCTTTACACAAACCGTTTCTTTTAAAATTGCGTCTAGACTGGAAGCAGAATTGAAATTTTTCTCCATCCGAATAAAAAATTTCTATTTCTCAGGCATCGTTCAGTTATATGTCTGTTACGAACCCTTAACCAAAGAAATCTGAGATGAATAAAAACATTTTCAACCAATAAAACACTTTTGAAGATCTCATACAGTATTACGCTTATTATGAACTTGCTCTACGTAAAGACAGGTTGAGTACTTGGTCAAACTGTCAAGTTCTAACTTCCAGTTTAACAAACAGAATTATAAATCACTTATATATATATATATATATATATATATATATATATATATATATATATATATATATATATATATATATATATATATATAAATTAATAGATTAGTCTTACCGCTTGATCGAATCCAGCTTCTACGGCAACATAAACTGAATTTTCTCCGTCAATCAAATAATTTATGACATTTTTTGTAAATTCCAATCCCTTTGTTGTCTTTAATTTGACTAAGATATCTTCCAGCTGATGAATATTTAGACTATTTATTGATTGATGTAGTGATTTTGTCCATATAACAATATCTTCATCATGTTCGTTATTCTGCATTGTAATGCCCTGTGGATTGATTGAGCTATTAAGCAATGTAGTAAACTAAAACAAAGTTATACTTACATAAAGACGTTATTTACTAAAGGTTGTTGAGTACAACATCTTATTTAAGATTAGGAAATTTTGTTAAAAACTACACTGTTTATTGATTTTCCAAATTATTGATATTTGCTCTAGAGTTTTTACCGGCAATTACTGTATTATCCAATCAGGTATTATTGTGTGTTCAGCTTTAAATAAGATTGAGAACACCAACAAATCTCAATAATCAGTGTGGGGTTGTAGAAATTGTTAAGTTTTTGATTGGGATCATGAATCAATGAATGATAGACCACCATTGAAAACCTGGAAACAAAATGGCCGTCCAGTGCTTCCATGTTTTCAATGGTGGTTCAACATTCATTGATTCATGATCTCAATCAAAAACTTAATAATCCCCATAACCCCATACTGATAATTATGTGCTCACTAGTGACTAGCTTCGTGAATTCTCGGAATTCTAGTAAGATGTTGTGACCAGTGGAGCTAATCCGTATCATGTAGTTACAGGTAGTGACTTCAGGAAATCTCAATAACACAAGTATATCCCACTTGAACTAAATTTAGTTACTCAAAGAGTAATCGGTCATAGTCTGTTTTCCTATAATTCTTAAATAAAGATATCCATGAAACATTGCTCAATAAATATTAGTTAATGGTGCAGTGACAATGACCTTAATCATAACATTGGATATAGAAATAAATTTTTCTGTTAAGCTGGGTGTTAGGATGTGCAGAAAAATATACCAATAGTTATCATGTTAAGTCTAATGTTGTCCTTGACGATAAATGTACATTCCCTATTGGTCGATATTTGCTTCACTTGTTTAATATTGCGCAAATGTTGTTTTCTATTTTTATGGTACGATGTGGTCTGCTTGGTTAGTATATAAACAGGGCGTGTTTGAAATATAATGATTCATATCTTAGAGGCTGTGACTTTCGTTCTGGACTCAACTGGCTGAGATAGACAGGGAAGCAGGGCCAATCAGAACCCTAGGTTATCCGTATGTATTTACGTGTCACAGAGGCGATCGATATAAACGCTGCTTATCAAAACTTGCAGTCACACGTTACAACACTGGGTTATTTGATTAAGAAAACTGCACTATTGTTATTGACAGCATCATGATTGTCCAGTTTAAATAGAAATAATCCTTTTTAAAATTACCCAAAAATTTTCAAATCACCTCGTTCATATTAACCAAGTGCAATATAACAGAGCAGCTTATGATAATAGATGATGGTCAAGAAGTATTATGAATTGGTTGATCACAACCACACATTAATGTTCTAGCTTCACTACCACATGAGATAGGTAATGCATACTACGGAAGAATTTCTGAATAGAATAGTCGGCGAGACTGTAATTTGTGAATGAACCGATAAGATTTAAGATAGTAACTATTGGATTTTGGCGTTAAATTCATTCATTCTTATTGCGAAATAGTATTTTGACATTATAGCTGATGTCCGTTCACGGTGAAAAAACTAACTACGATTCCTAACCCTGACGTTTAACTCTAAATTCTAATCCTAATTCCTTATACTAATTTACAACCATCTCTTAGGTAGGTAACTATTCTCAAGGTCACTTTAACACCACTCAAGAGTCAACCATAAATGATATTTTCACTGAACCAAGTAATTGTTTATTGTTTCTTAGTTTTCCAAAGGTCATTTCGTGGTGAAACTTACTTCCATACAATCAGTATTACGAACAGTTGTATAGTACTTCAACTAAGATATTACAAACTTGGTTAAATGGAATAAAGCATTCAATATTTTTGAATTAAAGTAACTATTATCATGTTCCAAGTGACCTAAACATGAATTGCAACACCACCAAACATTTGCTCTTCGCAAATTACTATCAACTAAATGAACTACTGCATCATAGTTTATCACTTGTACGTTTGTACGCAAACACTAATGTTACTATCGCAATACCAACTGAGGTTCAGTCAATCATAAACACTCTAGTAACTCAATCAAATATCCACCGATTCATGAATCTCTCTTCGTATCACATTGTGGATCGAAAACTTACAAGAAGTAAATTGTAAAGGTATAACTAGTAAAAGCGTCAGTAACAGGGTACAACTAAACAGAGTAAGTTCAATAAGAATAAATGATAACAGGGAATAATAATTATGAAGTAATACTAAAACTCAGTATCTAGATGAAAATGAGGACTGAATACACCTATCATTCTGAACCATGTTACAGAACATCTCCAATCATAGTCTGTGATTATCCCATCAGCCCTTGAATAAAGCGTTCCCATGCCTTGATACAATCAATTCAGAATTCAGTGGCTTCATGGACTGAAGTATAATTGAATACAGTCAAAACTGATTCTGTGATAATTACTTCACTTTGGACATTTTACCACAAGTCTCATAGAAGATGACTATATTTCAGCTAAAACTGGTCAAAAATCAGTTAACATATCAATCCTTAGATAATACAAATCATCAAAAATTAAATGTTTATCTGAACTCAATAGCTTAGTAGATAACACATTGAGTGTTCTAAGTCAACGGTAATAGGTTTGAGTTCCGGTGTAAACATCAACACCAGAATAAAAGTTCGTTCAGCTGATGGGTACAGAATAATGCGAAACTAACATCCTGACTTGACTGGAGTTGAATAAAACTGCTGATTTTTTTAAAATTTAAAGTTTTCAAAGATTTTCTTTTCCATTTTCCATTACCTTCTTATGGATTAGTGTCAGCCTCCTAGCTTCCACTACTATTTGGAATCTAGTTCTTCTATAAAACTTGTAACAGAATAATTATATCACAGAAATTCACACAGGATGCATATATATCAGCTAAGGTTGGTCAAAATGTAGTCACGAATGTCAACGGCGCTATAACTTAAGCCTTTACAAAGTAAATCTGATATCATTGCTTCTAGAACTTATATTACTCATATCAATCACCTGGTTTGTATTAGTTAAATCTAACTGAAAACTAGTGGTTTTACCTCAGTAAAGAAGTACCTGATAAAAGTGTGACAGAATATATATCGCTTAGAGAATCATGTTAATAACGTTGACAGACTAGTAATAACATGGATCAATATTTGACTAGTTTTTAGCTATTTACACCGATTTTTTCTTCATCTCCATTATTTCAAACAGGAATTCCGTTGTCATAACAAATGAATAATTGGTCACGAAATAAATCACATTCTAGAAGCATTGATTAAAGAATGATCGCATTTTTATGATTAATTATGATATACGTAAACTTCGTATAAAGACGTATCAACTAGTAAGTTTCATCACGATCATTAAGACTACAAATAGCATACTATCCAGCTAATGAAAATCAACTTCGACTACCATATAATACAATCTAATATTGCTATTTGTTACGAAGATACTCTGAATACAACAGAATCTAACAACGCTGGTTTCCGGATATCATAAGATTTATACTTTGAGGACAAACAGGAAAAAAAGCGATTGTGGTCAAGAGAAACAATATATATTAGGTTAGGTATGGAGAGAAAAATGTGTTACTACTACTCTGAGAAGTAAGAGGAAGAGAAACGCCTCATTTAGGGTGTGTCAGTGTATGGGTATGATATTTGACCAACTCCCTTCAGCTAGTACTGTCCATTGAAGCCTATAAAACTAGTAACAATGTTTAAGAATATAGTTGCTTTTTCTAAGGAGAGGGAAGTATTTATCACTAAGGTTACAATGCAATATAATTTGAACAATCATTGAAACTCAAGGAACACAACGTAGTAAGGCCACCATGTTTTCGCCTTTCTAACAATAATCTTGTGTCACTACCCGCAAATGCGAATCTCATTTGTATTTTTTTACAAATCCACGGAGAACACATAATCTTTCATATCAATTTCGACAACTTATTTTCCAATTTCATTATATGGAAAATCTTTTACGCTATTTGGAGAGATTTTTTGCCAATTAATATGAGATTTCGTTAATAGTTCAGTATGTTCAATCTTTTCAGTTCTAATTTTTAAGCACAAGGTTGTGGAGATTGTTGAACTTTATTGAAATCATGAACCGATCTAAGTTGAACCATCATTCAAAACTATAAAGCATTGGATAGAAATCTCTTCATAGCATGGGACTTCTCAGGAGTGCGCATCCACAGTCCCACACGAAGACACGAATCTAGAACATTCGATATCATGTGCAAACAACTGCGTCAGCATCTAAGAGTTTTAATGCCTAAATTCAATCAATCTGCGACATTTCACGACAGTGGTTAACTTTTTTAAAGGTCATTTGTCTTAACAACTTAAATTTCTTTACACCTATTTAAAATGACCTCCTGTCTTTACATTGGTAACAATTCTATGTTTCAGTAGTTAGTATCGTGAGTCAATTGAAGCTAGACAACCATGGGAAACCTGGAAAAACTGGACGGCCGTTTCGTTCTATTGTGGGATTCCTCAGCAGTGCGGATGTGGATGTGTCACTTAATTTCGTGGATTAGTCGAAGTTAGACATTAACACCGTTGGATACCGGCTCAATGATCTAATGGTTAAGCGCTCACGTGCGAGAATGACAGGTCCTGGGTTCAAATCTCGTGAGGAGGGATCATAAATGCGCCCTGCTGAGAAGTCCCGCAGTGGGACGAAACGGCTGTTCAATGTTTCCAGGTTTTCCATGGTGGTCTATCATCTATTGACTTATGATCTCAACTATTAAAATTACTATAATGTCCATAAAAACTCCTTCTGACATTAAATTCTATATTTAATTGAACAATCTACATATATTAACCTGGAACCATAATAGAAAACTAATTGAAAAATACTATTTCATTACTCAACTAGTATTTTTTTCCCCAGAATATTATCAACAGTTGCCTATAAAATACCAATAACTAAAAACTAAAGAATAGAAAACAATAAAATAAGTATTATGATAAAATCATATTCAACTAAATTAGACCTACTTAATTAAAGTTGTATTCTGCGTTTTGTTT